ACCTAGGTCCTAGGACTTGCCCATACATAGGTAATTAGGCACGCGTAGGGCGATGCTAATCCGATGTTATCAACAAATCGCAAATTTCATGGTATTTTTTTATCCAAATAATCACTTTAACCTTGAAATCACTCAAGTTTATGAAACAAATCAAATTTTTAAATTTTCAAAATGTCCGCCGTGTACCCGAATGCATAATTGACATCGTCGCATGATATTATTTCGGACTTTTCGAAAGAGGACACCATTGGCTGCAAAATTTTTTATTTTGTCGAAAGCCCGCATTATTCTTATTTTTAAGTCCTCGACAGTCGTTACTTCAGTAGAGTACACCTCATTTTTTATGTAACCCCATAAAAAGAAATCTAACGGTGTTAGATCCGGAGACCGTGCTGGCCACCGAGAAGGTCCGTATCTGCCAATCCAGTTCTCTCCGAACATCTCGGTGAGGCGCTTCCTGGCAGCCACCACTGAATGAGCAGGTGCTCCATCAAGCTGGTACCATAACCGGCTATTGGCCCCCAACGATAGTCCATCAACGTAATCCGCCACTGTGTCGTCAAGCAGTTCCAAAAATTTTGGCCCATTAAGGTTGCCTTCGATAAACACGGGACCAATTATTTGATCTCCGTGTATTCCAGCCCAAACATTAACGGCAAATCTATATTGGTGCATAGACTCTCGACACAGTTGCGGATTTTCTTGACTCCAGTATCGTAAGTTCTGCCGATTCCATATTCCGTTACGCGTGAATGTGCTCTCGTCAGTCCACATTACGTTTGCTAAAAAGTTAGAGTCATTAGCTACTTTGCTCAGGAGCCATTCACAGTAGGCTTCCCTAACTGGCTTATCTCTATCTAATAAAGCCTGTACCTTTACGTATTTGAACGGCCGTTGCTTGTTTTTTTTTAATATTCTGTGAACAGACTTGTGGTGTACACAGAATTGGCGAGCTGCTCTACGGAGACTTGATGTTGGATTACGAGCGAAATAATTTAATATTCGTTCTTCCTGAGCCACGGCGACTCGCGGAGGAATTTCAACCTGACGTGGAATCAAATTTTCGCCGTCACGTAATCTTTGGACTGCCCGTATAAAAATCCGTGAGTCTGTAGGACATACACGTGTGGTATTATACCTCTCTCGGTATGTTCGTAATGCCAGGGACGCGTTTTGGTGGCATTCTCCATAAATTAAAACCATATCGGTGTATTCCAATGACGTAAAATTGATACGAGGCATTTTAAAATAAAAAAAGTTATACGTTTAAAAAAATAAAAGCGTCCAATTGCGCACGGGCTGACACACCACTAAGTTATTAAATATCACTTATCTATTATTAACGAGTCCTATCACAAATAAAAAATACAAGACAGTAAAAGAAAGCGTCAAATTTCGCACAAATAGTCACACCACCTCCTCAACACAATTATTATTATAGTATTAACGTGTCCTATCACAAACAAATCAAGAAACTTATGAAAATATCCACAAAAAAAAACTTTAAATTAAAAGGACGTGTACGCGAAAAACTAAAATTAGGTCAAGCGATTAATGAACCGTTCCCAAGGACGCCGGCGTCGGACTAAGTGACTTACTGTCTTACTTTATCGTCGCACGCGCCAATCGACCACATCCCACCCTCCCAACACCCCGTCCCAATTCTTGTCGCATCGCGCATAAGAATTATGCCTTATTTTGTTACATATAAGTACATTTTTTGCTTAATTTATTACTTTATTTGATTATTTAAAATTGGCAACGTTGCACTATAATACAATATAGGTCTCTTGGCCTTCACGGGCCATGGGTCTTTGAACTTCTAGTATTTATCAGGTGATATCTGATGCATTTACATGATGTTGTTTAATATTAAAACAAAAAAAAGGCTACCGCGCCCAGAATGTTAATTGTTATATATTTTTTTAGTTGTGTATGTTTAAAGAACTTTGTATAGAATACGTCTTTTCATTTAACGTGATAACTTCATCGTCACTTTGTATGTTACTCCGTGCGTTATGTATGTTGGAAGTAAATGTGGTGATTGGATGAATGTGTTTAAGTGGTTATGTATGAATGGATGTATGCTGGTGAATTTCTTATACCAGTAGTTGTGAATATTGTCTGTGCCTGGTGATTTCCAGTTGTGTGTGCGTTTGAGGACTTCTATAAATGTATTTATTGGTATAAATTCAAATTTCATTTCTGGGATTTCTGGTATTGCCTCGTTAATCCAGTCTGCGTGATTATTATGCGATACTGGATTTTCCCAGATGTTGGCCCAGAACTCTCGCAATGTGTCAGACGAAGGTGTCTCCAGATTTTGGTTGCTGGTATCTCTGTTATTAGATATAAGGTTTCTGTAAAATAATTTTTCATTGTTGGTAAATTTTGTGTTTTGCACTTTGCGGTTTGTGCATGTTATATATCTTTTAAGTCTACTGGATGCTGAATTTAATTTTTGTTTTAAAGTGTCCAAAAAGTGTTCTAGTTCTGTATTCGAGTTTTCGTGTTGTGCGTGTATTTGGTATTTTCTCTTTATTTCTTCTACTGCAGCTACTACTTTTTTACTTCTGCTACCGTTAATGAAGTGTGTCAGTCTGCCTATGTGTGCTCTTAAATTTTCGATTTTCCTTTCTAATCTGACCTGCCATGTTGGTTTTTTCTTTGTATATGCTCGTCTTTCATTTTGTGTGGTGTATGATATTTTAGCCCTATTGCATTTAGCTGCCGTCCATGCCGCACAATAAATTTTTGTTTGCAATGTGATGAAATCGGTGTGTAGATTTACGTTCTTAGGAAGGATGACAGAGTTTATATAACTTACTATAGCAGTGAACTTTCTAGATGATTTCTGCTTGGGAATGTATGGCCTGTTAGTGGGGTGTGTATCTGAAAAATATTGTTGAGCTTGTAGAAACATGTCTTCTATTTCCGAGTTTGTTTCTGGAGCAGCATTAAAGTTAGTTTGCAGAGGCCCAAATTGATCAATATATGTGTTACTTAAGATATTTTCACCATTTGTATTCAAGATACTGTGCGATACGATGTTAGTCTGTGTGTTATCGTTGAGGGGTATTTTTGAAGCCAAGGTGTTTGTAGGTGTATTAGAGGTGTAAGTTATTGTATGTGGAGTGTTTAGTGTATGGATGTATTCATCAGGTTGTTTTAAGTTGTTTTGCGGTTGTGCGTTCCAATCTTCAATATTCATGTATTCAGTATTTTGTGTGTTAGTGTTACTATTCCTTAATTCTGTTGTTACCTGGTTTTTGATTTCTTCTAGTCTGTTGCTGTTAATATATTTGTTATTAATAATAGCTCTTGTTTGATCAGATAATCTTTGCTCTGTTACGTGTGCTAATTCTGGATATGTGTTTATAAATTCTTCATGTAGATGTTTTCTATAGGCTGTCTTATTTGTTTCTAATTGTGTAGTGCTATTCTGTAAATAACTATTTCGATATCGAGCTTCACCTGAGTGACAAAGCTCACTTCGAAAGCGATCCCGCTTGACCTTGATTTGGAATTCTGTAAACATGCGTTTCGCACTTGCGAAGTGAAGTGAGTCTCGAATCCGAGAGCAATAATCTAGTTGTGTTCGTTTTATCGATATTCTTTTCGAATTACTTTATTTTAAAATATGTGCATGACCTTTCTACCAATTCGGTATATAAATTGCTTAAATACTTCAAATATCTAATATTTGACAAAGAAATATTTATTTTTAATGAAATAAAGAAAAAAGAAAAATTTGCATTGGCTCTATGTTGTTAGGATTCGTGCCTCGAAAAAAGATGTTTTTGTGTACACAGTGTACATACCACAGAACACATGTACCCTGACGGGAAGAACGAAAACTTCATACAATAAAAATGCCAACAGCTTGCGACACTAGCGCGCCAGTTTTTGATCCATGAACTAACAGATGTGAATGTGTGCGTGTGTATATGTATATTCCTCATTGCCCACCCCCACATTCAATATTCTATTTTAATCATAATATATTACTATTTCCATTCCAATTTTCTACGAATGTAGAAATTACATTCTACATTAGTAAAAAATTGAAATGGAAATAGTAATAAATGAATAACAAATTGGAAATTTTAAATATTTAATAACACAAACCTTGAGAGGAAGATTAGAGTTAATAATTAGGTATGCATTGATACATAAGTAGAAAATTGGAATGGAACACGGTTAATAGTTTTTCAGAAATAAAACAATTATTTTCATAGAGATTTAAATATATTATTGACTAGTAATATAGACACAGAAATAAACTTGGGCACTCAATTGATGATTATAGACGCATCTTAGAACACACCGTTTTCAGTAATCCATTATTATTCGTTAAACATCTTCATTAAGTAATACAACTCTGATAAATCACCATAAATTAAATATTCACTGGCTAGTAACACCACACTTAAGTTATTTTTCTACGAAATATACTAAATCGACATTAGTTTTGAATTTGGCTTAGAAAAGTTAAACAAAACTAACTCCATTTAATTTGAAAATGATTTGAAACATTCTCGTTTAAAATGATATCTAATTGATGTAAAATGTACTTTGAAACTTGTTATTTTCTTAATTTTATGAATATGTAAAATATATTAACCTAGTTTACGTTTTTATTTCACAACAATCATAGATACATTTATATTTTCGGCTACAGAGCTTGTTGCACAGAGTAATCATTTCAATCGGACATAAAAATAATCGGAACGTATAATTTAATTTATACTTTCATGGATTAAACAACTTTTATTTGTTATGTATATTATAAAATATATAGTTTATAATTTATAAGATAAGTAAAGATAATTTTAAATGGGCAGGCGACAAAGATATTAAAAAGCAAAAATAAAAGTTCCTAAACTGTAATTGAAATACAATGCGTAACATGGTTCAATAGTGATTTCTCTGTCTTGCGTATAGCGCTGTCTCTGTTTCGCTTATTTTGCCCGAAGTTTGCATCGGCTCCATAGTGAGTTGACCCCCCCATGGTACATACAAGCCGATTGACGTTTAGAAGCGATTTCAAGTTATATTATAGTAAAAAGTTTGTTTTAGTGTTCCGATTACTAAAATACTGAATATACCATGAAGTAAGTATATACTTTTGTTATTAATATTAGTTTCTTTGTAACTTAGCCAATCCCTACTGTAACATTAATGATTTCGTTTTAATTATAGCCCTGTAGAAAGAGCGGCTCATCCCTCAACAGCCCAAATTCACGCACTATTAAATTTTTTGGAGAGGAATCCAAGCCTTGCAAAAGGTTTTTCAAAAGTTCCCAGTGCAAGGGACACAGCCCGTAAAAGCTGGGAGAAACTGGCGCTTCAACTCAATAGTTCAGGGGACTGTGTTAACACCTGGAAACAATGGACTAAAGTTTGTAATTTTGTGACCAATTACTTTTACGTCATAGTAAGTATACATAGTTACTTAAATTTTAAATAAATCTGTTTTAGTACTGGGCTGATAAAAAAAGTGCTGTTAAAAAGAAGGGTGCATTACGCTTTAGAACTAGAAATAAGACTGGTGGCGGTAAAGAGGTGGTGGAGCTTTCGGAGATTGAAGAGAAAATATTAGCCTTAATGGGTGGCGAAAGTTTTGCCACTGGTGACAGGCATTTAGAAATTAATCCATTTTTTGAAGTAAGTTGAATTGTTTTTACTTTAATAATATTTTATAAACTGAGACAGTTTTAATGTATTTACATATTCTTTTTTAATTTTTAGGCCCAGGCTGGAAAGAGTCCTGAAAATAGTCTCTCTTTGCTGGCTTCTACCCAGTTAATAAGCCTAAATCCATTACCGTTACCAATGGTAAGTTATTTTGGCTAACACAATGATTAAACTATCCCAACTTCTACAGTTACCATACAAAACCAATTATAGTATTATATTTTATCGATTGACTGTCTGAAATCAAATCATGTAAATTTGTATAGTAATTAAATTTTTAAAACAATACGAGTATGTGAGAAAACCTACTAATATGGTTATCATATTAGATATAGATAATGGTACTATATTAATTATTGGGGTGATTGAAAGTATTTATTAGTCCTGATATGATTTGTATAACATAATCCAAAAGGTAAAGAATTATTTATAGTAAATTTAAAATACCTGAAATATTTTATGAAGAACTCTCTTCTTCCAATTTTTTCACATTATGTTCTTTATTATTTAACATACACATTTAACATGCAAATATGTATATAATTAAATGATTGGTGATTGATGTTTGAATGTTTTCAGGAACAGCAAACACAACACAAACACACAACACCAAGTTCTATTGGAGATTTTCCAGCTGGAAATGTTCCTGTTGTAGAGGTATATACAGTCAAAACCGAATATAACGACATCGTTTATAACGACGAATCGGTTATTACGACCGAATGGTAAGGTCCCGGCCGAATCCCTAATAAACAGTTAAGTAAACATATAGCCTATAACAACATCAGATACAGCGACATATCGCTTAGAACGACGGAACTTTATCGATATTCATCGGCTATACAGAAACAGAAACAGAAACAGAAACTTTTTTATTCAATATAGATTATAAATAATACTTATTGAAAGTCACTCTTTTGTTTGATTACCACTGGTTCGGAAAAAACCTCTGTCCTGGGAAGAACCAGCAAGAAACCCAGCGGGACTTTTTTTTTAAATAACAGCTTACAATCATGATGTTACACAAATTAACAACACAACAAATTAGAAATAGCTTGGTAGCGATCACCTCATTTCCAGGGGTTATTATCATCCATAAATTCCTTAATATTATAATAACCCTTTTTATACAAACTTAGTTTAATAAAGTTTTTGAACTTTGAACAGGTCAAACTTTGTATATTTTCTGGAATTTTGTTGTAAAAGCGTATACATCGCCCCAAGAATGAATTACTGACTCGATGGAGTCGAGTAACTGGTACTACTAGCTTGTGTCTGTTCCTAGTATTTACAGAATGAATATCACTTATTTTTGTAAAACTACTTTTATTTTTGTGTACGTACATTACATTTTCATAAATGTATTGAGAGGCCAAAGTTAATATATTAATTTCCTTAAATTTTTGTCGCAGCGACTCTTTAGGCTTTAAATCATAATGCTCTTATGGCCCTCTTCTGCAAAACAAATATAATTTCAGTGTCAGCTGCGTGTCCCCATAGCAAAATACCATACGACATTATGCTATGGAAGCAGCTGAAGTAAACTAGTCTAGCTGTTTCAACACTGGTTAAACTTCTAATCTTTTTTACAGCATATGCTGCAGAACTAAGTCTGCTTGCTAGTTTTGATATATGGGGGCTCCATTGAAGCTTCGCGTCTAGTGTGATTCCAAGAAAAATGGTGGTATCTACAAGACTCAGTTTCTCCCCATTTAAAATTACATTAGTATTTAATTGTTTGACATTTGGAGTCACGAATTTCATACATTTTGTTTTAGTGCCATTTAAATGCAAATTATTAACATCGAACCAATTTACTAATTTAGAGATAGCATTATTTACTTCGTCATATTTTAGTAACTGTCGACTTAATTTGAAAATTAAAGAAGTGTCATCTGCAAATAATACTATATCATGGTTATCCCCTACTATGTAAGGTAAGTCATTAATGTATACAAGAAACAGAAAGGGGCCGAGAATTGAGCCTTGAGGCACGCCCATTTGTACCATCGATCCGGAAGAGCTCATATTGTTAATGACAACTTTTTGCGTTCTCTTACTTAAATATGAAATAATTAATTTAAGGGCATCACTTCTTACACCGTAGTGTTGAAGTTTCCTGATTAATGTTTCATGGTGAACACAATCGAAGGCCTTGGATAGGTCACAAAATATACCCAAAGCATCCTGTGAATTCTCCCATGCATTAAAGATATATTTAATCAGCTCAACACCGGCATCAGTTGTCGAGCGACCCCTTGTGAAACCAAATTGATTTTTATGAAGTAAATTATTTATATTAAAAAAATTTAACATTTGAACAAGAACAATTTTTTCAAAAATCTTACTAAGTGTTGGTAGTACAGAAATAGGTCTAAAATTGGCGGGGTCTAATGTACTACCAGATTTAAATAAAGGTATTACTTTACTATGCTTCATTAAATCAGGAAACACACCAGATTCGATACTAGTATTAAAAATAATAGCTAAATGAGGCGCGATTGTATCTATTATAGACGCAATAACTTTAACGGAAATCCCCCACAGATCCGCAGTTTTCTTAACATCAATAGTTTTAAAATATTTTACAATATCTTTTGATGACACTTTATGAAATGTAAAATTCTTTGTACACACATTTACATTTTGTTTAAGTAATGATTCGGCGACGGCAGGAGAAGAATTCAGTGACTTAGTGGTCAAGATCGGAATATCAGTAAAATATTTCTCAAAAACCATTGCTACGTCCTGATCTGATACAGTTAATTTGTTGTTAACACTTAACTGGTAATTTGAATTGCGAGAGTTGATCTTACCATAACGACCAACCGTTGTGCTTGTAAAATAAAAAAATACAAACAATTTTCAAACCTATTCTAATCTATGAAGGAATGTTTTGACTTATGCCTACGCAGTTTTTTCCACCCCATCCGACGTGTGCGCCGTAGTTACTGAGGAAGAGATTCTTGCAGAAGTTGAAAGTAATAATCGTAACACTGATGAAGAAAACGAAGACCCCCAAGAGCAGTTCCAACCAACAACACTATGCGAGGCTATTAATGCTATAATAGTTTTACAAAAATTTGTTGCTTTTAACAAAGAGTTTAATGCTGATGATAATCAAGCAATCTTGACGAGAATGAAACGTAAAATGCAAAACACATTTGAGACTCTGCTTAAAAAAAACAGACCAAAATGACTGATTACTTTAAAAACTTATTGTAGTCTATAAGCTGTACTGTTGGTCCTGCAAGTTTTTCAGAATAAATATTTTTATGTTTGTATACTTGTGTATATTGCTTATAACAACTATCGGATATAACATCCGAAGTTATATGGTCCCTTCAATGTCGTTATATCCGGTTTTGACTGTATGTGTTATTTTGTCTGCATACTATTTATATTATTTATTTAAATTTCTATATAAATTAGGATGTAGAGTGTATGTCATTGTAGTATCTAGATAGAAATATTAAAAATAATATTCTATGTATATTTACATAATATTTTAATACAAGAGTCTGTAAGTTATCATTATTATTGTTTCAGACAACACAACAGCATGCAATTGAAAGGCAGGCTATTTTATGCCTACCTGGAACATCTGGGCCATCTTCCAGGCCAAGTGTTGTTCGCATGGTGAGTAATATACTACTGATATTTTAAATTTGTCCATTACACAATTTTAACACCTAATATATCTAATTTTAGGTATCACTAAGCCCTTTACCGATGGTGGTCCAATCTCCACCCTGCACACCACCCACAGTTGGAGGTCCTGCAAGTCCTCCCCCAACTCCTTCGGGTTCAGGCAGCCACCCACATCGGCTAAGAAATGCACGTCGCCAGTTGATTGGATCTCCAGTGCATAATCATCCTCTGCTCAATACAAGTAAGTATATTTTACTACACCTCAAAGTTGTGTATCGTCTTCATACCTCTGTATTCTCATTTCAAATTTTTATAATCTCTTTGCGGTAAAAGAAAAAAACGTAAAAATTGAAATTAGAACTTAAAGTGAATGAGGGCTAATATTTCACTCACCAGATGTCGCTAATTGTGACTGAGGTAAAGTTTTTTGTTCCACAATATTAGTTAACAAGCTGTTCGACGCGACTTCGCCCGCGTGTAATTTAGGAATTTAATTTATTTTTGTGAGAAACCCTAATTATTTTTCTAAAATAAAAGTAGCCTAACTTACTCCTCATGACATCAGCTATCTGCCAGTCAAAATCCCGTCAAAATCGGTCCAGCAGTTTCGGAGATTAGCCGTAACAAACAGACAGACGGACAGACAGACAAAAATTTAAAAAAGTGTATTTTTGTTATAAGTACCGTTTATACTTTCAAATGCATTTAGTAAAACGTTGTAATTTTGACATTACAAACAGACACTTCAATTTTATTTATTTGTATTGATTGTGAAATTAGTTTTTAAATAACACTTTATCATTATCTAGAGTATTATATTAATACACAACACAATGCTTCAGTGGTTTCATTTTTAAATATTTGCACTTCATAACTCTTTTTTTAATTTGTTTACTTTTCGTTATATTTATAGTTTGGTTTATTTATTTCTAATCTAATTAATATAAAATATAACTAATAATACTGAAAGAATCCTTAAAGTTCATATTTTCCTAAGACTTTAAGACTAATTATTTATCTTTCCCGCTATGAAATCTGTCAAATATTATTCCTCATTGTAAAGTGGCGCCGCCCTGGTGGCAGAAAAAGTCGTGGATGCACTCATTGGCGTCAATAGTGACTTTGTTCGACGCTTCATTGATTAGTACTGTTTGGTATTTTATCAAAATTTGTAACTTAATAGGAATAATATATTTAAATTACCATTTATTACTGTTCTAGCAACATCAAGACTTCGCCATAATTGTCGAAGTCGTGCATCACCTCCATCTCAACGGCGATCACAATTCACGAGTTTTTCGGAGCGATTTTTGGCGATAGAAGAACAAAAACTCGAAATAAATCGCCGTAATTCGGAGCTTTTAGAAATGCTCGTTAATCAAACAGTGCAGAGCATTGGAGAAGGATTGAAATTATTGCAAGAGACTTTAAAAAAATTAATATTTGTAATATTATAATTTTTATTAAAATGTAGTATGGTTTTTAATCCAATGCATGTAATCGTGCTCGCCATAGCATATTAATTAGTTCTTGTCGACTAGACTGTCCTATTACAGCCTCTTGAGATATTGTTTCATTTCTAGCCCCAGCTTGTGTATGAATGACTGTGTGGAAACGTAACTCCTCTTCATTATCGTAGTCGTGCAAAGCAGGAGCCGGTAACCCTGCGCGATTACAAATGTTGTGTAATACACAACATGCCACTACAATTTTTGCAACCACATCAGGGTGGTAATGTAGTACTCTGTGTACCAGAAGACATCTAAACCTCTCCTTTAGCCTGCCTATAGCTCTCTCCACGGTATTACGCGCTGTGGCATGAAGTTTGTTGTAGTGTGCAGCAGGTGTACCTTCTTCTACATTAGGCACCGGTACCATCAAGTATGCTCGTTGTGCATACCCAGAATCTCCTACAATAACAAAAAAATACATTTTAATGTCCCCTATCAATTAATTTGAAGCGTCAGTAGCCTAATGGCAGGGTGCGGACCGCAAACTCGAAAGGTCGTGGGTTCGAACCCGCCATTCGACTACTGTCGTGAACCACTTCTAACACAAGCATTTTAAGCTTACCAGAAGTGGTTAAAGGGGATATTAGTAAAGTTTAATAGCATTACTAGTATTTAAAAAAAATATTTATCCTAACTAGCTAAATCCAAGTGGTTTTACCCATGTGGATATTGATATTACAATCACTATTTTATCAGTAAAGTTGCAGCCTATTTACGTCCCACTGCTGGGCACAGGCCTCCTCTCATTTCTGAGAGGGTTTTAGGGCAAGGAATTGTCCACCGCGCTGCCCTAATGCGTGTTGGCGAACTTCACATGTCTTCGAAATATTTTTTTTTCTTATTTCTCAGACATGCAGGTTTCCTCGCGATGTTTTCTGTTTTCTTGTAAATCAGCACTTAAAATTGCAATTAACAATTGCATTAGTGCCGGCGGGGATCGAACCCGGGTTGCTCAAGTACTGTGAAGTTTACAACGAGCGCTAACCATCTGAGCTATTTTATAAGGAGAGTAGTTATATATTTACCAAAGTATCGAGCCATTACCGCCGAATTATCGTAAGCGACATTTTTACCTAAACAACGTTTTTTGTCGCAAACCACATGTTAAACTATAAAGGACTCGGTTCGTAGACATTTCCCGCCAAAATACAATCAGTTCGAAAGTTATAGCAAATGCTAAGTTTATCGTTAGCACAACGTTTTTCTATATTTTAGAGTAACCGACATAATCAATATATATCGCAAGTTGTGTAATTATCTAATAATTGCAGCGTAAGCGACCCTACTTGTTATCGCAACCGACACAGTACATCAAAATTTTGTCGTTTACTATAAGCAAGGTGGCAAAAAACGTATTGCGATGAGCTCATTCCATTGAAAATTGTGACGGAATAACTATCTCTCTGCATCTATTTAGTATTAAATTATAATTAATTATGACAAGCTCGTGGTGTCCATGGGGTCGGAGCTAAGTTCTGCAAGACCCGCCGCAGAAGAACACAAAAACTCCGATCACACTCTTAATCTCATGGCTGTTAGGCGGGAGATGAAGCTACATTCTTCAACAGATTTCACAGCATACAGGTAACTGAACAGACAGATCTCCAAATGCATGCGGCGGGACTTACGCAACTTCAATACAGCTTGTATTGAAGAAGCGATCGAGCGGAACTAAGGCTCCAAAGTCTTTGCCAGAGATCTGTCTGCCAGAAAAAACCAACTGTGAAAGCTGAAGATCGAGTGTGGCAGCATCCTTTCCGGGACACCTGAGATTTTGAGTGAGATTGAGAGGTTCTATGGGCAGCTGTACACGTCATCGTTGGAGCCGCACGCAAGTGTGAGTAACGATCCAAGAGCGAGTCTTATCCGACACTATTCCGAAGATATCCCTGACGTCAGTCTGAGCGAGGTTAGAATGGCTCTACAGCACCTTAAAAACGGCAGGGCCCCAGGTAAGGATGGAATTACAGCGGAGCTTTTGAAAGCGGGTGGAAAACTGGTACTTGAAGTCCTTCAGAAGCTCTTTAATTCCGTCCTCTATGGTGGCACTACTCCGGAGGCGTGGAGCAGAAGTGCGGTGGTCTTGTTCTTCAAGAAAGGCGACAATGCTCACTTGAAGAACTACAGACCGATTTCCCTTCCGAGCCGAGTCTACGTGCTGTTTTCGAGACTCATTAAGAATCGTCTCGCACGCAGACTTGACGACTTCCAGCCTCCCAAACAAGCCGGTTTCCGAAAAGGCTTTAGTACCATATACCACATACACACCCTTCGGCAAATTGTACAGAAGACAGAGGGGTGTAATCTGCCACTTTGCCTTGCGTATGTGGACTATGAGAAAGCCTTTGATTCCGTCGAAATTTAGGCGGTGCTGCAGTCCCTTCAGCGGTGCCAAGTTGACTGTCGGTATATCGAAGTGCCGAAGTGTTTGTACACTGACTTTGCTACGATGACTATCCGAGTACAGAATCAGAGTACGAAACCTATCCAACTGCAGAGAGGTTTAAGACAGAGTGACGATATATCCCCGAAACTCGTCACCGCTGCTTTGGAAGACGTTTTCAAGCTACTGGACTGGAAAGGATGCGGTATTAACATCAATGCGAGTACATCACTCACCTTCAATTTGCCGACGATATAGTCCTTATGGCAGAATCGCTGGAGGACCTAAGCACTATGCTCAATGACCTCAATAGTGTCTCTCAACGGTTAGGTCTTAAGATGAACTTGGACAAAACAAAAATCATGTTTAACGTCCATGTCACACCTATGCTGGTAGTTGTTGTGAGCACTAAGTTCGAAGTTGTTGACGAGTATGTTTACCTGGGACAAATAGTCCGACTAGGTTCGTTAGACAGCGTTCGGGAAACTACGACACATCTTCTCGTTAGATATACTTTAAAACCTGAAAATTGTACAACCAATGCGTGTTGCCAGTGATGACTTACGGATCTGAAATGTGGTCCTTCACTGCTGGCCGTACGAGAAAGCTCAAGGTCGCTCAGCGAGCTATAGACAGGGCTTTGTTCGGGGTTTCTCTGCGTGATAAACTTAGAAATGAGGATATCCGCAGTAGAATCAGAGTAACCGACATAGCCCAACGGATTAGTAAGCTGAAGTGGCAGTGGGCCGGCCATATAGCTCGAAGAACCGACAACCGATGGGGAAGAAAGGTTCTCGAGTGGCAGCCTCGTACCTGTAGGCGAAGTGTAGGCGTCCCCCCACTAGATGGAGTGACGAACTGGTAAGACATGCAGGAAGTCGATGGATGCAGGTGGCTCAGGACCGTGCTTTGTGGCATTCCTTGGGGGAGGCCTATGTTCAGCAGTTGACTTATGAAAGGCTGTAATGATGATGATATAATTACCTGGTTATCGCGTGATAAAACTAGGTTTTATTAAGTTTAATGTGGTGCGATAGTGTTGTATAGTGTTTAGTAAATCACTGCAGTTACTTATTGCAATTCTACGAAACGCCGGCAAAGGTATGTAGGAAGACATTTAAGTAGTGTGATTTAATAAATGAATGTAAATAAATAACCAAAGGCTACTAATTTTTGACTAGCGATTATTCGTGGCTTTGCCTGCGTGAGAGTGACCACGTGGCTTTCGTGCTTAACTTTGTTAATCACTAAAGCGTTGCCGCCACTGAGCTTTAGGCAACTGTCTGTTCTCCTTCTATTGCTTACTTAATCTGTTACCTACTTAGCTAAAGTAATTGTTGTTAGATGTAAGGTTTTGTATATGACTGAACCGACAGGGGAAGTACCTACCTCTGCCCTACAGTTACAATAAAAGAACCCATAGTGTCATAAATCTGTATGCAGATAGTTGTGTTGGGCAAAACAGAAACCGTGCAATGATATCCATGTTATTTCAGTTTTTGAAGACAGCAACTACGATTACTACAATGAAAGTAACTTATATCCTACCTGGACACACTATGATGCCTGTTGACTTCATTCACAGTACAATTGAAAGTTTTATCTGTAATAAAACAGTGTGGGCTCCTTCTGAGTGGCCAACTATGATCACTAATTCTAGATCCAATCCAACAGGTTATTTTGTACATGTTTTGAATTATACTGATTTTATGGACTGGAAGTCTTTCTCACAAGCTTTATTGCCAGCGAAATTTAAAATAGCTTTAAAATCAACAATCCAGTAATTATACTCCAATATGGTTTTTTCGAAGATAGCAATAAACAAAAGTTGAATATGGATCTAATTATTAGATCAAAGAGGCAATACGGCAACTATAATTAATGGGCCAGTACAGTTATACAATTCGGAACTAAAAATTTCGGCTGCAAAGTACAAAGATCTTCTGGATCTGTGTAATAAAAATAAAACCGGCCAAGTGCTAGTCGAACTCACGCACCGAATTTCCGAACAAATCCATAGGTATATAAGTTTAAAATTATTAAAAATATTTTTATTATATGATGTAACTAAAAATTTATTCTTTTCCCAATTTTTCCTTTATCTGTGCTATAATACGTTGCTTCGTGCCAAATTTTAAGATTCTGAGTTCACGGGAAGTATCCTGTAGGTTTTGATTCCCTTGCGAATGTCGAATTTGCGGCATAAACGGCTGTATCTTTGGATTGCGTTGGCTTAGAAGTTTGATTTTTTCACAGCTCCAAGGGACAGTAGACTTGAGTATTTGATATGAATTTCAGCTTGATACTTCCACGCGTTCCTGAGAAAAAGGGTCTTGACAGACAGACGGACAACAAAGTGATCCTATAAGGGTTTCGTTTTTTCCTTTTGAGGTACGGAACCCTAATAATACCATGCAGGTACCATGAAGAGTATGTAAATATGAAACATGATGAAGCTGTTCCTGACGTGTTACCTGAAACTGATGCAGATGATAGTGATAAGGAGAATTAAAAGTTAAATTTTAGTTGAAATTGGATTATTTGATCTGTGTTCTTTTAAATGTTAAATTAATGAGTAATATTTGCTGAAACAAATGTGGGTAATACGAAAACTTTAATTTTCTTGATAATTCTTTAAGTTTAATAATTCTATTTTAAGTTTCATTCATTGATCTCAGTATTCTCTAAAATGTTAAAATAATGAGCAATGTGTTATATATTTAACTATATATTTTAAGTTATTTTTTTTTACATTAAATTATTAAATAACCATTTATTTATGAAAATTTATCCGTAGTTAAAATGACCTATTGTCGCTTACATTAAAACTAAAACAAGGTTATTTTTATCGCAAGTGTTATCTTAAACGCCCGTAATCATAAGAAGTGGTTCGTTTGGGACAGCAAAAATATTGTAAACGCCAAAAAAGCCTCTAAACCTATTGTTTTTTCGAGAGTTTTAACTGCTACACCTAAGGCTTCAAAAATCATAATTATATGTTAAATTTCAATTTAATAGCACAATTATTTCTAAAAATATTTAAAAAATACCTTCTCCTGTAAAATTTGGTTTTTGTCGGTTACGCTAAGTCGGCGGTAATGGCTCGGTATTTTCTTATATAAATTTTCATATTGCAAAGAAAAGGTTCTCTCCTATATTATACTATGTACCTCTCCTGTATTATATTATGAAAGAATTGTCTGCTTTTAAACAAACTATATTTGTATAGGTACTTGTAACTTATAATGTCTACAGTACTTTTTATTTTATCTACATATTATTTTTTAGAAAAATATAGTTTGTCGAGTGAAGATAGGCCACAAGTATTATTAACTAAGGAATAAACGATATACCTATTAAGAAATGGGGTAACTCACCTAGCAAATGTACAGTTTCACCAGCATTCACTAAGTCCTCAAGATGGTTCCGTATGATGCTATGATTAAAAATGAAGCTATCATGTGTTGCTCCCCCATAGATAGCATCAACATGCAATATATTTAAGTCCGCATCAGTAATCTAAAAAACAAAAATAACATTATATCTTGAGTTTAAAAAAAAAACACGAGTTACCTATTCTCTGTTTCCATATCTACAAAAAGAAATATTACTAGATATTATTAAAAATCTTACTAATTGAATATTTCTTGCATGATTTCCTTTACGGCAGTAATATCGCTCTTCATTTTCTGATGGCCTAACCATGGTGACATAGGTACCATCAACACATCCTATCACCCCAGGAATTTTGTATTTCTCGAAGAATCTGTAAAGTTATGTACCTATTATTAGGCAAATATTTCAAACTTATTGGTAGGTAGGTTTAACATAAAAATATAGGTACTACAACACAATTATAATACATAATATACCGACCTTTCCTTTAGTTTGAGCCTCTCCATGGAATTCTGTGGAAACCGTATATATTTCCTTACAACACTAGGGTGATTTAGGGCGTCAACTACCTCGCGAACACATCGGGAGACAGATGGTTGTGATACATAAGTGTTCACATTTTTTCCACAAATTCTCTGATAGCTACCGCTAGCCAAGAATGAAAGGGCACATAATAACTGAAAAAATAATCATATTTTGTATAACCTGTCGGAAATATCTGCGAACCTCGCTGGAATGCGCTTCCCCTCGCGCTTCCCCGCACCTCCGCCCGTTATCGTCTATCCAGTACCGTTGCCATCTCTCCATATTGCATGACGTCATCAAGCCAGGTTCGCAGATATTTCCGCCCGTTATCGTCTATCCAGTACCGTTGCCATCTCTCCATATTGCATGACGTCATCAAGCCAGGTTCGCAGATATTTCCGACAGGTTATAAGAAAAAAGCTTATGGGAAGTTATAAAAAATAGTGTGCACGTAAAAAAAAATTATTCACCTTTATTTTAATAGACAATCCGCGACCTCGCCGGCGAGGATTTTTCATAAGATGTATGATGTCTTGTAACACATTATCTATCAACTCCTCAGACAATCGATAATTTTCAACAAAGTCTTTGTGACTGTTAACTACTTGAAATCTACGAATTTCACAAGCTTGACGACGACTATCATACATATCTATGGAATGTGCTTCTTCTAATAAACTCTCTAAAAAAAACCAACGAGACATACCTATCGAATTATTATAATTCTTATACTGTAACACACTTAACTACGGTGGACTAATGAGTTAAAATGAACTCGCACACCAATCTCGATAGGCTCTTAGACCACTTTAAAAATGACAAATGAATTCGTTGTTATAAGTGTCGAATATCGACGAGTGAAGCGGTAAATCCCTTTACAGAATACCGAATTCATACTATTAGACATGGGTAAGTAATGCGTGTAATATTACACGAGTAATATTACTCGGAGAAGTGATGCAACATTACTCATTACGCGTCAAATCCAACCATTACACATCACTCACATCACCCGCCCGAAACCATGAAACGAAAAACGTCGCGCGCGATCGGTGTCGTTCGGGCAGCGCGAGCTTCGCGCTGCCCCGCGCTTGTGGTCCGCCAATTCCTGGAATTTCTCCGTGTAATGTATGCAATTTTGGTGTTTATTATAAATATACAAAGGACCATTTCTTCGTAATTATTTTTATGCATTAATGATTTAATGTAATAATAGGTTAGCTTATTTAGATTTGTTTGAGTCAGGTCAGATGTCAGTCGGTCAGTGTTGTATTTTACTAAATAGTAATTGCACGCGTACGTACGTTAGTTATCTGCATCTGCACGATCTGCATAACATACCTATTGCGGTCCGTGTACTATACACACATACATACCTACTGTACGTATATACCTACCTACCTACCTACTACTACACTACACGATATCACAGAATAAATAATAGTTACATACACAAACATAAAACTTATTTGCTCAAAAAGAATGTTCGATACGATATTCACAATAATTACTTAAAACTTGTTTTGTTGCATTACTTCTCAAGTGATACGAGTGTTGTCCGTCGAATGTGATCGATAGATACCAGTACTATTGTCGGTACTCAGTTGCCTGTAATGCCAAAATCTCGAGTGATGTTTAGGGTGATGGTAATATCACAAAGTGATATCACTCTAACAAAAGTGATGTGTGATGTTGCATCACTTCTTCGGGTACCGTTTTGCGCATGTATACATACTATTAATGCAAAGAGTATAGTAACCACAGAATACTTTACCTGTCCTATACAGGAATTTTTTTTTTTGGAGTTTATGGCCTGGCATCTAGACCTTTAGGCTATATACAGGAATATTAATGTCAACCAGTGCTTCCAGATCCCAAAAGTAAAATTACAGTGTTGCCAGTTAAAAAATACAGGAGTTTCTAAAAACAATACAGCAGATTTTAAAATCGATTACGGTAAAACTTTGTTTAAATATTGATAGAAAAATAAGCTGCTTTATGACTTTGTTTATCAATACAAATTGCTATAAGTTATTAAATAAATAAAAATATTCATATAGATACAAAAAAAAATTATTTATTTTCTTATTCCATAACCAATTTGCTCATGATTTTCATAAATCTTTGCTGTCATCCTTGAAATCATTTCCTTAGTTGGATTGAAATTCACGCAATTTTCTGAAGTCCGCCGAATAGCTTGCTGAGCTAGCATGTTGCCTTTGATGGTATTTGTGACTAAACAATTTCTCTGCTTTGTTTTTATATTATTTATTTCGCTGAACTTTCATCCGTACTCAGCGTTCGAGTGAGGCAACAATAAAACTTGAAGCATAAAACGAGGCAGAAAATGGTATTTATTATCGCCGTTGCTATCTTTGATTTGAGACAACTGAAAAAAAAAAAATCTGTGAAATGATAACATATGTGCAATATTACGTAAAGTTCTTAAATGGTAAAATTTTACCTGATGCCAAAATACGTCTCCTGGTGTTTTGGATTTGTATTCAAATGTAGTTCATTCGCAGTCAAAATTAAGTTTATCCATTCGTCATCTAACATCTGTTGATCATTTAAAGTTTGGAGCTTAAACCTTGGCAGCACTGGGAACAGTGACGACAAATACTGTAGTCTATTATCAGATAAGCAAGAATCGGGATCCAACTTTGCGATTCAGTTCAAAACTGGGTCATTCAAACTGTATCTTTTCCGAATACCCACGCATGCTTTAACGATAAAATTCAGGCATTTCTGTTTCATCACTGTAACTTCTTCGGTACTTGCATGTAGCCCTGGGAGAGAAACTTGATTAGCAACACCCAATCCCAGGTATATATCTTTCAGATTTATGTAATGTTGACTATCAGTAGGATCAATTGCGTCGAGTGGGGTGTTTTTTTTATATTATTCGGAGTTATGTATAAGGATAACAGTTCTCTGTATAGCTCTGTTCATTTTGTTATGGTCTTCGATAATAACCGGACTTTCGTTTTGAAAATATACATTGTCGGGGGTAAATTTTGGCAGCACCCAACATAAAAAATAAAAATATGCCTTGATGATGTAATCACTCAAAAGAATGTGAATGGCTTGGCAATCTTGGTCTTCCAGCCATTTATCATCAAAGTACAATCGTAAGGCGTCCCATTGCTCCATAATTCTGTTCACAACACTGAATAGAGACAACCAACGTGTCTGGGATGGACGTAGCAATTTGTTTATGTTAGGGTCTGTAAATGCTTGAAATTCTTTTAACTCTGCTCGACGTTTGCTACTATTTTTGAAGTAATTGTATATCAATCGAGTCAGTTTTTCTGCATCGTGAGGCAATTTTTGCAAGCGTCGGAAGCGCACAAATGTACAGAATGGCAAAGGCATTTGATCATGATAATACCTGGACATAGTTGTCTAAATCGTGAGAACACTGAATTATGGCAGCCCATCATCGTATTACATCCATCGGAACCAAACCCGATTGTATTTTCTAATAGTATTTTTTTGTCTCGAAATTATTTTATTATTGAATTAAAAAAATTTCAGCCGTAGCTGTGTAATCACCAGACATTCCAGCTTTTTTATCATCAGATATTTGAATAAGATCCCAGAATCGACTGATGATACGTCCTAAATTAGAATTATAATATTAGACTACAACACACATTATTTTGGCACTGGCAACATCGGTACTTTCGTCTACCATTATAGAGAACTTTACGCGTTTTAAATCTTCGACTAAACATTCTTCTTCAGAAGCCCCGATAACGTTATTTATTACTGTTCGTAATTTAGTATGTTTAAGTTTGATGTTACTTGCGAAGTTTGATGTTACTTTAGAATCTGTTAAATCAACGCGATGTTCCATCATTATGTGCGATATTTTATGTTCTGCCATAAAAGCTGATAATTTTAATTCTGTAATTTTCCGCTGATCATCATCACTTCCACATTGCTGACTTTTAAAAATATTATCAATGGTACGCACATGCGATAGGCCAGGAAGACGAATTTTATGCTTAACAAATCAAAGAAGAATCGCAAACAGTGCAAATGCATTTATAAGCCGACTTTTTATCACGCTTTAACCACTTACGGTAGTCAAGACTATTCAAGGATTTGGATATATATCCAAGGATTTGGAGCCATTCATCACGGAATTGTTGCCGATATTTCTTTTTAGCTCTTATCGGACCAGCATCGCTACGCACATCACTTTCCTCACTGTTTGAGCTCATTTTTACAGTAATATCGCTAGTCACTATAAGTTATAGTTTAGACTTTATTTCATATCACCCAAAACAATTAAAAAGTTTTAATCTCAAATAAAATGTATGCACCATGGCAAAACCAATTTAAGTGTAATGAGATAGACGAAAAATGCAATGTTCCTTTGTAAGACAGAGACTGCTACTTATTGCTAGTTGCATCATTGCTATAAAATATAAATACAGTATATTCCATACACTGTATTTTATCATTACAGTATACAGTAGAAAAGTCTAAAATACAGTAGATCTACTGTAATTACAGTGAATCTGGAAGCACTGGTGTCAACATTCTCACGCAATACGGTTCGTCACGTCGCCACACTCACAAGTGTGGCGCTGCCGGCACTGTCGGGATTTAGAGAATACGAATTTGATATCTCACCGCGGATTCCGCTGTCGAGACACGAAAGTGTTGTTACAGAATAGCATGGCTGGTATTACAAGCTTACCTGCTTGTACCTAGTTTTTAAAGGTTAGTGGTAGTTAGGTTTAGATTTCTACCGGTTGGCAGGTCCAGCAGAATTTTTTGCATACCTTAAGCGCATAGCGCGTAGGTATGTTCTACTAGCGTCTAAAAATCAAGATTCCAACGTTTTGTCGCATAAAATTGTATCTAACAATCTTACTGAAAAGCACATTGTCCGAAAAATACATGTTTGTTGAACTTATTAATATTTTTTAAATAGATTTATTGCTATTATTACATAAAAAAGTGGTTTCAGTGGCTTATGGAGTGGTAAACAGGATAACTTTTGAAAATATCGATTGTTTAATCTATCTATTATAAATCTATTTTTTAATCTCTTCATCTATCATGTGGGAATACATGGAATGTAAATGACAGTGTACACGCCCCTAGCTGCCCCAATCAAGGATGACGGGATTAGGGCCCATGAGTAATCCCATCGACGAGCAGCAGAGGGACGGGGCCAGAATATGGCCACGTGGAATTTCTCTAATTACACTAAACTATATGGGGGAGCGTTCTATACTACGCCCAGTCGACCGGGTGGATATTAGACGGAGCTTACTTACCTATATCCAAGGCGACTGGTCCCTCCGGAGTCGGTCAGGTCGCATGTGGTTGTGTAGTGCAAGGGAAATAAGGTGATGTGATGTGTATCTGGGTGTGACTGATGGTGATTGACCCTAGACCTTGGCAGTCGGCAGCAGCCCGGGCGTCGACACCGCTCCAAATTGAGGGAACCTTCCGCGGCGTGGTCCACAGTCACTTTCCTCGTTCGTCACGATGACAGTCCATTAACTCTATCGTACTGATACGAGCTTCGGGTTCGAGACAATTAAAAACTGCCGACTGAATTACCAAAATTGACACTTTAATTACACAACACTAATTACAATCTAAAATCACACTAATAATAAAACACAGTTCGCCGTTATTTCGCTTCGAAGTATTCTCTTGTATCGCCAATTCAATACTG